TTAGCCTTGTGTAGGGTAACTGTTCATGTAACTGGTGATCTTTATGTTATATTTAAACAAAAAATTACCGGTATTCAAAATCACAGATTGTCGTTTCAACTGTTTGTAAATTTATCTTATTTTATTGATAATTTAAGTTCACACAAAGTATTTGCCGTCATCTTTAATGAAAAATCATTTAAGCAATCAAAGTGATAAAATAATCTCTTGTTTCAACTGTGACACTGACAAATACGGTAGTCTTTTCTCAAAGTTAACTTCATACCATTTATGAATATTTTTAATGTTTTTTTTACAGGAATTTTACAAGACATTTAGTTGGTAAAGTAATACACAAAAAGTAAAGATATAAAAGCACATAAAAGATTAAGCAAATATTATATAAATTTAAATTACTTTTTTTTTGTCAGAAATTCTAGAAACGTACATTTTCAGTTGATGCCAATCACATGGGGTATTATTGATATGATTGACAGAAGCAAATAACACATGAAACAGGGGTAGCATCTACATGTATAACTAATGTGGCTTTTCCGGATATTTTGGACTACCAAATACAATACTAAGCATGTTTCTATTATTAAGGTATTGGTAGCAGTAACTTTCTCGATAATCTGATTATCAATGTTGCGCCTGGCTACTATAAATTAATTTGTTCTGTAGATGCAAACATTTTTAAACTGAACCTATCGATAATATCAAAGCTACCTGGGGGGGGGGGGGTCACTGGAGCTAGAGGCAGGTATTATGCTTCTCTCTCTCTTCTATGACTCTTCGGATATTAAAACGGTATCATATACATTTAACGGCTACGTACAACATAGAATATAAAATAAACTCATTGCATGCACTGGGTTACCCTCATAAAATAAAAAACAACAAAAATAGCCACCATTATGGCAACTAACAAGCCTACCCTATCAAAGTAGTAAAAGTGGCGAAAAAAAAAAGTATCGCGACTCACAAGAAATCAACATTTGTTCAACCAATATGGTAACGCAATGTTGAGTGGTTTACAGTTTGATGATGAAAACGTTAACAGTTTGTTTTAGTACACCATCATATAGCACAAGCTTCCAGTACGCAAAACACAAACATTAGTGAGTACAGGAAACTTTTAATATATGTTGAATTTAATAAAAAGAGACAGCTCGATGTACTAGTTTTTAAAAATAATCACTTTCAGAGAGAATAATTTTTGATTTGGAACTGATCAGAATAACTCTAAAATGATCTCTACAATTTACAGTGACAATCCATGACCTTCACTGCTGGGCTCCATTGGGTATCAAAACACTAGAGCTTGTTACTAGGTAGTCATTCTCAGACCTCAAAGCAGACCATATACTAGTACTGTAAACTACTTTATTTTCGCTGAAGGAATGATTGAAAATAAAATCAAGGAAATATACCCAAAGAGTCTTTTCAGCAAAAATTAATACCAGCCAAAATAAAGTATTTTACAGTAATATGCAAAGTAGACAGAACGCACAGCATGCTGAGACGTTGACCGTCGTAGAGCGTACAAGTTGAAGGTGGTACTTGCATTTCTGATGTGTGTGATGTTCTTTCCACAGTAAACACAGTATACTGTAGAAACCACTAAACTGAGTTTTCTGCCATTGAGTTACTCAAACTGCACGACAGCCAGGCATGATGAAATGGTTGGCTGTGATGCAGCTAATCATTAGCTGTCACTGAACATTTCAACGAAAATTCAATGTGCTAAAACAATACGAGAAAACCACTTCCATCGACCCCACATGACGTGGAAACACAGCCAATCAGATAATATACCGGTAGCACGTATTTCCAAATATCAGTCAACCGATTTATCAGGTTAAAGGGTAGCAGTTGAAAATTCAGTTTAGTGGTTTCTGCAATAAAGGTTTTAATTTGTACACATTAGTTTGGCAAGACAAGGAATTTGGTGCTAATATAGATATTATGTTACTGCATTTTGTAACCACTTAATGTTCGGAAAGGGGGAGAAAGTGAGAGAAAATAAAAGTTGATGCAAATTTTCCATTCGTGAATGTTTGTATAGAGATAATATACACATCACTGTCCAGGAAGTAGGGCGTGTAAATATGGAAAATAGCAAGACACAGCGTTATATAGTAACCTGCTCGGTGGCAATAACTATAGACTACATATATAATCTTGTGCGGGGAATAGTCTGTTGATTACAAAGCTATGTCTTCTTGAGTTGTATATAGTTTATGACTGGAGATCTTCAAGGCATAGACTTGCATAGAGTCACTCCTTGCAGCATAGAATTATCACACAACAGTCTTTGTCTGTTAAATTATAAATAGGATTATTCTAAAGTGCACGTCTTCAATGTTGTTGGTACTCTATCTGAGGTACTCCATCTTTTGTAAGTGACTGAAGAACACCATTCTCATATACTTCCACAGTTTCTGACCCATTTTCAAAAGTCCTGAAAGTGGAGGAAAGTTATATTTGCAGTTTATTTTTAAATTAGGTAAAGTTCAGCCAAAACAATGATACTACGATAATCCTTTTTCAATATTAAAAACCCCAAAAACTGTGTTCTGTACTTTCTTCTTAATATTGTATGTACCGGTAATGAACACAACATTTATAATAATCTGATCGACAACACTAACATAGCTAGTACTCAAATATTACTGGTCACTGAGTCTCTATATTGGCAACGGACTGCATGACTGAGATCCAATGCTCAATTTTGATGATTTTTCAGCACTAAAATGGCTGCCATTCTTCCTTCCAGAATTGGATCATGAATAAAATACATGTATGATATGATCATATTACAGACCCTATAAGTCCCTATTTTCATATTACGCCCCAAACAGATACTAATGAATAAAGTAATTTTAGGTTGTCACAATCACTATAAATAATAACTTACTTTTTTGTGGTTATTTTCTTTCCATTCATTATTTTTGTACTTGTTGATGTTCTCTTTACATTACCCCCTCCAGTACTAAAACTTGAACTTGATGAGAAGCCAGTGAAACTGTAATGTAAACAAAGTATAGGAATTCCATAAACGCACAATAAACATACATGAGGGGGGGTCCTGCGGTAACACCACATAAGGATGAGAAAGGTCAAGATCATTTATACACTAAGGTTTTTTTTTTTTTTGACAAATCTAGTTAATAATATCAACAAAGTTTACTTATTATATATTACTAATATAATCTTTCAGTGCCCGGACACAAATGTATTGTTGTATCTGATATTGGAATGAGGTAGTACACCCCTGCATGGCATAGCAGTATTGGACAGGAACAATGATGGCCAATCTATCCTGTACATATTGGTGGAATTTCTCACAAACTATTGCAGAATGTAGAGATCCATTGTCACAGATCCTGGAAACTAAAGCCAGTAATTGTGTTGACTTACAGTAGAATGCTACAAAAAGGTAAAAATGTTTTCTTTTTTTTTACAATTAAGGATTAAGAAAATGAAATTAAAAATATGGGATCACCATACTCAGTTCAGTGAAAACTGATCAATAAAACACAGTGACAATAACATGTTTTGTCTGTTTTAAGACATTTCACATTTGTATGGCAAAGATGTATAAACCATGTACCTCAATAACTCAAAATTTTGCTCGGTGACATATGGTGCAAAAATGATATAGAGTGTCTTAAATGGTACGTTTTGGTGTCTAGAAGTTAAAAGACTGACAATATTTTCAGTGGGTTTTTAGCAAGGATATGCTTTTTCATTGTGGTCTATGGAAACCACTGCTAATGTTGCATTTAATTTGTATTACCGGTATGTTAAAATGAATAAATATAGACAGAATTTGACATGAAACATTGCTATATGCGCGAAAATATGTGCACACATAAAACAAGTAGCCTCTCAGCTGAGATAGCTCCGCTGTCAGCAATGCACATTTCAATTAAAGAACTGAAGACATCATTGGAAAATGAACAATATGTATAGTACTAAAGCAATTGGACTTGCTATTTTCAACAAGAATTCAAAAATATTCATCAAAATTGAACAAATCTGAGAGAGTTCAACCTGAGGTACCTATATGTATAGTATCAAAGCAATTGAACTTGCTGTTTTTAACAAGAAGTCAAAAATATCACTATCAAAAATGATAAAAATATTGGGCCAAAAAATGTTTTTGAGGAGTATTCTACTATAAGCATCTGTGGTATCGTAAATGCTTGAATTTCTATATATCCTCCTGAAACAGATTCATAATTCAAGATCACAAATAACACAATTTTAACTTAGATATGTTAATTGAAGATGCACTACCAAGATATTTTAACCATGAAGTGAAGGAACACTGTTAAGGAGCCAGTTTCATTAATTCAGTCTTTTACTAGTTAACATGTTTTTGAGAATGGAATGCATGCAAATGTTGAAACTGCCAATAGTAGTAATGTATCCTAGATAAAGGGTGATGGTCATCACAATATGGGTTCATGTACAACACGTGCTATGTAACAACCACCTCCCTTTAATACCGCATCATTGCTAGGGGGCGGGGGTTATATCATTAAAATTTATGATGAATGACATTTGATGACGTAATTGCAGGTAAATGGAAAGTTTTTGCAGCCAAGATTGCATCATATGAAACAGCAAAAGAGACAAGTGCTGGCACACAGGGTTGAATCCCATAACTTACCCTGGATTAAAGCCAGCAGTATCATAGCTAGTTTCATACAAGCTTTGTTGGTATCCACTGCAGTGGTTAGGAGGAGCAAGGGAAGAAAAAATTAAGATATATTCAATTATGTACAAGGTTAGTGCTGGAAAAAAAAAATGATTGGTTGCTTGCTTATCACCCCCAAAATTAGTTATGATCATGTCCTTTTCAATAAATGGGTTGGTGCATGTGATGTTAATTGGGGAGGGGGGGGGGGTCCATTGTCAAACATAGAATACGTAAAACAAGCTGAGCACAAAGATTTTTTCAAAATGAATAATTTCTCTGATCACAATTATTTTGAAAACTGACATGCAGGATATGGTTTTTGGATTTGTTAGCAGTGACTAAAAGATCAGATTGGTAGTGAATAGAGCATTATTACCGGTATAAAGATTGCACCAAATCTGAATATCATGCGACTTTAAAGATTGATTAAGGCAAGTCAATACAAAACACAGGTAAAAATAGAAAAATGTATTTGCATTTTTAGTAAATAAGGCCAAGACATTGAATAGTGAAAGAGAATGCCTATGACTCTTGCAGTCAGATAAAGTGGTGGTGGTGGTGGTGGTTGTGAGTGGTGGATGGGTTACAATGGACATGAAAATAAGTGCAATTGCTGCACGGCTAAAACTGACTTTCAAATTTTCTAGAAATACCGGTGATACTTTTTTAGTTTTCTTAATGAAAGCGTGATTGATTGAAGCACGAGTATAGATGTAATAGATGCACATATATACCATCATACTGGGTACATTCACTATGGAATTCTACAACATGCAGAGATGAGATCTATTGTACCGGGTACTCTTCATTTGGGTGCAACTTGCTCAGTGACTATTAAAGAACTTATAATAGATTAGATATGGTATACCTATCCACTAATCACCATTCAATCAAAGCACCGGTGCTAATTTAATAACACAACCAATCAATAATTATACCAGAACATTCAATACCATATTAGTCGAGACAAATTATTATACTGCCAAAATTCAATTTCTGACTACACCATTTGCTCTAATAGCTAAGACAAAAGTGTATCTAAGTCAAAATAAGTTGTATTTTAATAATAAAATACACTTTTAATAGGGGAAATCAGGTAGAAAAATTTATACAATGTGACAAGTCATACACATAGGCTACTGGTAATATTTTAAGTCAACATTTTTCAAACTTTCATGTTACCCCCCATGGTTTTAAACATTTTTTTTAATCTTGACAAATTTCAAAAGAGTTGCACCATCATTTTGATAAGAAAAATTATTTTGATAAAAGTTTGTAATAGCTGCACTAATCTAATACAAGTACTTAGATAATACATACTGACAATCAATAAAACCATTTGCAAATTTTACACACAAGATATTTTTGACAGTAGGTTATCAAGCCTGCCAATTTGGG